GCAACATCAAACTCCTGCCAAGTAGCTGGATCTACAGGTGTGCACTGCCATACCCAGCTAATTTTTCTATGTTTTTATAGAGACAGGATCTTGCTATGTTACTTAGGCTGGTTTTGAATTCCTGAGCTCCAGTGATCCTCTCGCTTTGGCCTCCCAGAGTGTTAGGATTATAGGCGTGAGCTGCCATATCTGCCCATCATTTATCTTCTAATATATCCAAGACTTTGGCCTCAAGAATTCACCAAGCAGGAGTGCCTGGGGCTCAAAGGAGTAGGGCACTGGCCCCATATATTGGAGGTGGTGGGTTCAAACTTGGCCCCGGCCAAAAAAAAAAACTGAAAAAAAAAATAAAGAATTCACCAAGCAGCACATCATATAATTTGTTTAACATGGTATATTAGACACACGATTAGAATTTGTAGACTAGGCTCGGCGCCTGTGGCTCAAGTGGCTAAGGCGCCAGCTACATACACCTAAGGCAGCGGGTTCGAATTGGCCCGCCAAAACAATGATGGCTGTAACCAAAAAATATAGCCAGGTTTTGTGGCAGGCGCCTGTAGTCCCAGCTACATAGGAGGCTGAGGCAGGAGACTGGCTTGAGCCTAGGAGTTGGAGGTTGCTGTGAGCTGTGATGGCACGGCACTCTACCCAGGGGGACAGCTTGAGGCTCTGTCTCAAAAAAAAAAAAGAATTTGTAGACTAAAAGATGTTCCCGAATGTGTTTACCTGCCCCTTAGTGGCCTCCCACGAAATTCTACTTTTATTTTTGTCCTTTTTGCATCGCTGAACCTTCTCGCTTTTTTTAAGGATTTTTTTTTTTTTTTACTGTGGTAAAGTATATACAACAAAATTTTAACCATCTGTATGTATAAGTGTGTAGTGGCATTAAATACGTTCACATTGTTGTGCGACCCTCACCACCATCCACCTGCAGAATTGTCTTATCACCCCTAACTGCAAGTCCACACCTGCTAAATACTAACCTCCTCTACTACACACGGTAACCACTATTCTCCTAAAAATTTAACTACTCTTAAATACCTCACTGAAGTAGAATCATACAATATTTGTCCTTTACTGCTTGGCTTATTCCACTTGTTATAATGTCTTCAAAGTTCTTCAAAGTATGGCGTGTATCATAACTTTCTTGAAAGCTGAATCATACTCCATTGTATGTGTGTGCTGTGCCATATTCTGTTTATCATACTCTGTTGACTGGCATTTGGGTTGTTTCCATCTTTGGCTATTGTGAGTAGTACTGCTGTGAACACTGGTGTACAAATAATCCATTGGAGTCTTTGGGTATATACCTAGAAGTGGAATTGGTGGATCATGTAGTAAATTTATGTTTAATTTCTTTTTTATGAAACATTGCACTGTTTTACATAGTTGCTATACCATTTTACACAGTCACCAGCACTACAGAAGGGTTCCAGCCGCGCCACATCCTTGCCAATCCTTATTTTCTGCTTTTTGCTATAATAACCAAGCTAGTAAGTGTGGAGTAGTATTTCATTGTGGTTCTCACTGGTTTTTAAGCAGTATTTGTAGGTAGTACCAAATACACAGTAAATTTGGATGTTATATTGATAATATCTATTGCACACTCTGGATATATATGCATGGATGTATGAATTTATTCTTCACTAGCACAAAAATTATGTCACATGGCTTCTAAGAAGTTGAGGGTGACTGATATAAGTAGCTCAATTCATGGCACTAGGAATATAGAAGGAAACTAAAAAATAAAAATAAAAAAGAAACTATAGCCCAAATTAGATGAATGTGAAAGTGTGTTGTAATGCCCCCTACCCCTATTAAATTTGGATTAAAATGACTAGTCAATTTTGAACTTCCTAGTAGCCAATGAGAAAAGGGAAACAGGATCACTAACATGGTTTATTTGAGATGACAAAAGCACAATGCTTTTCTTGACTCACTGATGTACAAAATAAACTATAATCTTTTTAAAAGTTTTTAAAGAGATAATTGTTAGTGAAATCAGCAGATTTTAGACCAAAAGCAAACAGAATTTTTGATTAAATTATGGGAGTTGGGGGTTGTAAATGACTCCACAGCCTGACCATTATACTGTTTTTGTGTAAAACAGTAGCTTCAAAGTACACTTGGGCTGGGCACTGAGGACAGGGGATGGGTAAATTCACACCTGTTAGGTACACTGCACACTATCTGAGTGATGGGCACACTTAATGTATGTAACTTTGACTAAATCTGTATAAAAACAGGTATATAAACAAAAGATGTGTGGCCCTAATATTCTGAAATTTAAAAAAAAAATACAATTAGGAAAATAAAAGGTCAACTTCACCTATCTCTGCAGGGTGATAAGTTCTATCCTTTGGACTTTATCAGGTAATGGTCATGATGTGGCACACCAGGTCTAATCCTGGATTGCGTCATTTACATACATGCCTGACATTTCCTTCCCAAGTTACAGATTATCGATACATGTGTTTTGTACAAATAGTTCTAAAAATACTTCCTTGTCTTCCATTTGGAAGGCGAGAAAGACCTTTATGTTCAAATCTGATATTGAAATTTCTTTTTTGAAACTACAAGACTAATGTCTCATTTTTAAATTTGTACTGAAAAAAACTTCATGATAACTAGAGATGTTGTCAAATTGGCTTCCAAGCACTTGAAAAAGTAAGATGTAGCAGCCCGTATAGCCTATGGCTAGGAGGAGTGGAAGTTCTAGGCAATACCTGTAATGGAACAGCTTGGTGAAAAAAGCATGAGTGATTTGGTTCTAACAAGCATGAGTGAGCTCGCGAGATAGAGCATTGGTGAATTGGCAGTCTCTACACCTGTGGTGTTGAGAAGCACGAGATCAGCCTTATATTAGGCTGGAGGAGAAGGCAGTCAAAAAGCATGCACATTCTATCACGGACACGCTTACTCTGACTCTGTTTCCTCTCCTGCCTGCAGATAACCAAGCTCTGCTAAAGACTAAGATCTATCTGTTCTAAGAAGACTGCTTTACTCTCTCTAAGTCTCTCTCTTTCTCGCTCTCCAGCTAAAGTAGATAGCCCTCAAGCACCTAAGAGAAACTGTTCCTGAGCAAGGTAGCTTAGTGATCTGCGTCTGGAACCTACCTAAGCTGGGCCCCAGACCTAGCCAGTCCCAGGCCCTGACAAGTGGTGTCAGAAGCAGATCCTTACATAAGAACAGATGCATTTTAAAGAAATTACTTTAAAATGGCTCGGCGCCTGTGGCTCAAGTGGCTAAGATGCCAGCCATGTACACCTGAGCTGGCAGGTTCAAATCCAGCCCTGTCCCACCAAACAACAATGACAGCTGTAACCAAAAAAAAAAAAAAAAAAAAAAAAAAAAAGGCTGGCCTTTCTGGTAGGCGCCTGTAATCCCAGCTACTTGGGAGGTGGAGGCAGGAAAATCGCTTGAGCCCAAGAGTTGGAGGCTTCTGTGAGCTGTGATGTCACAGCACTTTACCCAGAGTGACAGCTTGAGGGTCTGTTTCGAAAAAAAAAAATTACTTTAAAATGGAAAGAACTGGTCCAAAGTTTTACTCAAAAATTTGGATGAAAGATACTAACTTACATTTCTTCGACATTTACAATGTTATTGGCCCAGCCCAAAGTACTTTGTATAGTAACACATTTATTCCTCTAAATGTAATGAGGTTAAAACCATCATTATTCCCATTTCATAGGTAGGGAAACTGAGGAACAGAGTAGCTGAGTATCCTTGGCAACTTTCTCAAGCCCTCTAAGCCTATTTCCCCATGGGCAACTTGGAACTAATGATAATACCATTTACTACATTTGTAGAATTTTACTTCGTTTTATTTTATATTGTATATTGTTTTGTTCTGTTTAGTTTTTGAGACCATGGTGTCATCATAGCTCACAGCAACCTCAAACTGTTGAGCTTGAGCGATCCTCTTGCCTCAGCCTCCCGAGTAATTGGGACCATAGGTATGCACTACCAGGCCTGGCTAGTTTTTTTATTTAAGGTTTTAAATAAGAGAATGCAATTGTTAGTTCTCTGAAACCTGTAGCCTGGCTTACCTGGTAGGTAGATGTTGCCTTCTAGGTCCCCCAGGTTGAAGCTAATCTAGCTCTTTGTGACTTCAAACTCATGAATGCTTCATACCAAGAATTGTGCCTGAATGACATCAGAAAAATCAGAATTACTGTAGTTCCTAGCCTAAGTCCGAAAGCTTTAGTAAACAGCCCTGTAGTTACATATCACTTCCTCAAAGTTTTAATAAGTTAAAGTCTTCACTATAAGCACATTGCTGTAGTGCCATTCCTACAATGAAAATGACAGCCTTAAAAAAGAATAGAAAAAGGCTGTATTCACCAAAGAAGTCACTGAGGTTCATTAAATGCTATGTAACCAAGGGGAATCGATCTGAGGTGATAGCACGGGAATTAAGCAAAAAGGTCTTGCCATTTGTGTGCAAGAACATGAGATTTTCACCAACCACGATTCAAAGCTGTTGGGTCCTAAGGAAGCAGAAGTACTTAACCATGCTGGTTTTGTTTTTGGTTTTTGTTTGGTTGTTTGCTTTGCTTTGCTTTTCTCTCCCTCAGTAGAGTGCTGTGGCGTCACAGCTCACAGCAACCTCCAACTCCTGGGCTTAGGGATTCTCTTACCTCAGCCTCCAGCAGGGAGCTACTGGCACCCACCACAACGCCCGGTACATTTTTGTTGCAGTTTGGCCAGGGCCGGGTTTGAACCCACCACGCTCGCTATCTGGGGCCGGCGCCCTACTCACTGAGCCATAGGCGCTGCCCGTTTGTTTGCTTTTCGAGTCACTTCTGGGTTTTGCTGCAAGACAACTTGACTCTTTCAGAGTATTTTTAGAGCTGCCGCAGTTCCAATTTCTCCTGTAACCTCCCCTCTAGGAGGGTCAGCGCGCACCTTGCAAGGCTGCGGGAAAACCAAGAGCCGGTTCCCGCTGCTGGCAGCGTAGTTTTCCCACTCACCACTCAGGCTCCCTTCTGCCTCCCCAGGTTGCCACCAGCCGTGGATGCCTTTGACATTATGACCGCAGAGGATTCCACCGCAGCCATGAGCAGCGACTCGGCCGCCGCGTCCTCGGCCAAGGTGCCCGAGGGTGTGGCGGGCGCGCCCAACGAGGCGGCGCTGCTGGCGCTGATGGAGCGCACGGGCTACAGCATGGTGCAGGAGAACGGGCAGCGCAAGTACGGCGGCCCGCCGCCCGGCTGGGAGGGCGCGCACCCGCAGCGCGGCTGCGAGGTCTTCGTGGGCAAGATCCCGCGCGACGTGTACGAGGACGAGCTGGTGCCGGTGTTCGAGACCGTGGGCCGCATCTACGAGCTGCGCCTCATGATGGACTTCGACGGCAAGAACCGCGGCTACGCCTTCGTCATGTACTGCCACAAGCACGAGGCCAAGCGCGCCGTGCGCGAGCTCAACAACTACGAGATCCGCCCGGGCCGCCTGCTCGGCGTGTGCTGCAGCGTCGACAACTGTCGCCTCTTCATCGGCGGCATCCCCAAGATGAAGAAGCGGGAGGAGATCCTGGAGGAGATCGCCAAGGTCACCGAGGGCGTGCTGGACGTGATCGTGTACGCCAGCGCGGCCGACAAGATGAAGAACCGCGGCTTCGCCTTCGTCGAGTACGAGAGCCACCGTGCCGCCGCCATGGCGCGCCGCAAGCTCATGCCCGGCCGCATCCAGCTGTGGGGCCACCAGATTGCCGTGGACTGGGCCGAGCCCGAGATCGACGTGGACGAGGACGTGATGGAGACCGTGAAGATCCTGTACGTGCGCAACCTCATGATCGAGACCACCGAGGACACCATCAAGAAGAGCTTCGGCCAGTTCAACCCGGGCTGCGTGGAGCGCGTCAAGAAGATCCGCGACTACGCCTTCGTGCACTTCGCCAGCCGCGAGGACGCCGTGCACGCCATGAACAGCCTCAACGGCACCGAGCTGGAGGGCTCGTGCCTGGAGGTCACGCTGGCCAAGCCGGTGGACAAGGAGCAGTACTCGCGCTACCAGAAGGCGGCCAAGGGCGGCGGCGCGGCCGAGGCGGTGGCGCAGCCGCCCAGCTACGTGTACTCCTGTGACCCCTACACGCTGGCCTACTACGGCTACCCCTACAACGCGCTCATCGGGCCCAACCGGGACTACTTCGTGAAAGGTTAGTGGGGACCCGCCTCCTAGGGCGCCTGGCGTTTGGGTTTCTCTTCTGAGTTCTGTCCCTTGTAGCATTGAAAGAAATACAAATCGTTGTGGGGTGAGCGGTGAAATCATGGGGTGTCCATCAGCTCTTGCATTCTGCCTCACCAGAGTGCCAGATTTGGGGCTCGTCCAACAGTTTCTTGGCTTAAAATCAGCTTTAATTTTGGGGGGGTGTTTTGGGGGGCAAGCCACGATTGTAAAAGGGACTTTGGCAATCAGTGAAATCTGGTGTCTTATACCCTCAATGAATCCCCAACAATTAAGAAAAAAATCAGCTTTACTTAATATTAAATCTTAAGATGTGGGTGGGGGCAGTGGTTCTTGTTTGTTTGTTTTTTATAATCACTGATTAGGATATACTGAGACCAAGGTAAGATGCCTAGGCTCTGAGCCCTGCTCTTTGATTAACTAGGTCAGTGACTTCAGTGGGTCACTTTAACCTTCCCAGCCTGTAAATGTTTTTCTCTGCTAAAATTGCAAATACAGTCTTTGGGGCTCACCTTGTGAGTTTGCACTAAGGGACTCTTGGACTATGCAGATATATTTCAAGTACAAGTCTAGGCTGAAACAGAATGTTGGGAAAACACTTACCAGCCCATGAATCAGCAGAAGTATAGCCACCTGCTACAGACTCAGGGCAAACAACTAAATGCCAAGAACCGTGTGCTAAGGTCTGCCGCCTGTGCTGTTGCTTCTGGGTGCTCATCATTTTTTGTGCTGTCATTATAAGCAGGCAGCATAAGAGGCCGAGGGCGAGGTGCAGCTGGCAACAGAGCCCCGGGGCCCAGGGGGTCCTACCTTGGGGGATATTCTGCTGGCCGCGGCATATATAGCCGCTATCATGAAGGAAAAGGAAAACAGCAAGAAAAAGGATACGAACTTGTGCCGAATTTGGAAATCTCTGCCGTCAACCCAGTTGCCATTAAACCTGGTACAGGTCAGTATTAACCAGATTGAGATTGCATCTGCTCAGCCTAAATTCCAGCCCTTTCTGGGGTTGTGTACATGGCTTCCTCTTCTTGTAGGCAGCCAGAGACTAGGCAGCAGCAAAGCTAGAACTTAAGGGGATGGTCTAGTGCTAACCATGTTCACATCAAACTTTCTGGTAGTAGTTTTTCAGACGGATGTCACCACTAGTTAGGCTTTTTCTCCATCTGTGGCTGAGTAGGCAGAGTTGTTGGGGATGTTTAGGGAAGAGGAGAATTATAGACTGTGAAGCTCTCCAGGTCTTCTCAGGCCTGATTCTAGCCCATTCAGGAGAGACCACAGGGTGCAGCTCATTGCCCGTTCTAAGATTTGTTGGGCAGGACAGAAAATTCCCC